AATTTTAATTGAAGTCAATAAGTAAATTCAAGCAAATAATCGCAGTTATTTGAAAGTGCTTTAAACTGTTGAAAATTTTAATACTAGATATGCAATAATACCAAAGCCCTCCAAAAAAATTCGTGATCTAAAAAAACAATTAAATAATAATTTAATCAAATCAAAATTTAAAAGCGTATGTAGAGCGATATTACAATGATTGAATACTTTATCTTAATAATAATCTAGTATGTGATCAATATTAATAAAATGAAATATTAAATGCTAAAATATATAAGTTTAAATTGTCTTAAATTAAACAAGTAACATCCAGGACCAAACTTATAAGTTACAAGTAGTTAACTGGTGGGGTTAGAACAAATTCTATGCTAGAGCATTTAGGTTATCAGCTAAACGTATAAAATATATATAGGAGTGGATTTAAATTTCTTTCTTCACCAACAGTATATTTAGATTTTTATAGGTAACAGAATTTCGAACATCAATATAGTCTAAATAATACTCTTACAGCGCAGCACGTTTAAGTCAAGAGAAAACTTTGAATATCGTTTAAAAATCCAAAATAGACGCCTAACTGTTAGCTTGATATGCTAACATTTTGCTTCAATATGCTTTTTTCAGTTAGTCAGCTATCTAAGTAGATGTCTATGTATTTTACTCCGAAACATTGTGTCAATATTAACCATTAATAACTAGTAAAGACAATGTTTCCCTTTTCTGTTTGACTTAAACGCATTTAGCTTTAATTACCAACAGTTTAAACAGGTTTGAATATGATATATGTGCCCCTGCAATCACATCGATGCCACTTTATTCTTTGAATGGGAAGTCAAAACTGACGTAATATCAGCAGATATTGATTTACCTATGGCAACACTTTTATCGCAAATGGTTCTTTAGAGGTCATCAAAATGAATAGCTTGTCATTAGTTTTTTATTTCTAGCTAAATGTAATGTATTAACAGCATATTTGTAAGAATAATTATGGGTCAATAGCTTCTTGATATGTTTCTATAATAACTTATGAGTTTGTCAAAAATTTAACGAACTCAGAAATTTAACAGACTCAGAAAAAAGTTTTCTATTACATTATTTAGAGCCATGTATTCTTTTATAAACCATCGGTAGTTCATATAACAGTTAAACAATGTTAAACGAATGATCACTGAATCATATGATTAACTTTCAATTTTACCTAGTCAAGATAAAAGTAGGTAAAATAAGATAGAGACATATAGCTATACCCAAAACCTGACGCATAAGCAAATACTACTATATAATATGAGACTCATATTTTAGGCATAATTCTTATTAATTTTTATTAAAATCGAGTCATTATTATACTCTTGCTTTCTAGTTTCTTGATACTCAGTAAACATAGCATGCTGGCTTAGAATTTGATAGTAAAAACCGAAGGTAAATGGAGGGATTTCAAAATAGGTTGGAGAAGGATAGCCCTGTATCCAGTGTATATACATAAGTTCACCGAATATAAGTCTTTACTTTATTTAAAGTTTGTTATATTCATCGTATTGATAATGCCGTTCATGGTATAATTGTTAATTGGGGTCCAGAAAATAATTTTGTTGTAAAATGATTTAACTGATTGGTTTTATATCTAGCACAATATGCTTTTTTTGGATCTAATCTCATTAATATTTCTATTAGTATTAATATTTATTAATTAATAAATATTATTTAAAAATAAGAATTAATATTTGGATTTTAATCTAGGAATTTGAAAGTCATTTTGCTTTCAATTGTCCCGAGTGCGTTCTGTTTGAACCATAAATTTCGAGAATAACTTAATAGAACCACTCTTAAAACATTGAAAATACATATTGAAGCTGAAGTTTGCCATGATCTACTAAGCTAGGAGGAAAAATTTTTTTTAAAACAACTTTTTTATGGCAACAAAGTTATGAAATCCTTAAGTTCTTATTTCTCCTCTTCTGGTTAAAATATATTTTCACATTAAAAATTTAAACAATATTAAATTCGAATCTGATGTTTATTTCATATATATCTTATTTTCATTTATTATATAATGTTAATATGAACATCACAATCAACCACCATTACTTCATTTTTGCTTTTATATATTCCATAATATCCATATCCTCTTATGCGATATTCGCCAGTGTGCAAAAAACTTGGCAATAGTTTTGGGTCCCAATTCCAGCCTTTGAGATAGTAATGACCCTCAGTTACGGGACAATTACTTAAAAAGTTACCATAACGTTTTAAACTATTATACCACTTTTTGAGCAGAGACACCTTGAGGGATGCAACCATGGTACAGACGTCAATATGATAGCTGAAGAGCTGTTGATACTTCCTCGTGTTAGACATTCGCAACTGAAACTCAAAATAGGCTCTAAAACCACTCTTCAGTGGTTGTATTATGTACATATCGACATTCATTGTGTTGTTGGTCGTGTGCAGTGTAAAGTTCGAGAAATAGTCTGGATTAAAAGATGCGCCAGCGGAATGAAATTCAACAAAACGTAACTACAAATATATTTCTTGCATTAATTTTCAAATCATTTCATTTTATATACAAATTTATATGAATACTTACTGCCTGAATAGCATATAATTTGTTTTGAAGATATAGAAAAATAAATAATTTGTAAATATTTGAAAAAAGATTCATTTTAATCTGAACAAAATTTAATATATATGAATAAGCAAACCAGACCCGAAATCAATTTAAAACAAAAAAAATAAGAATTGATGTTTATTTGTTCTTTTTTAATAAACTAACATTAGCAATTAGAAAGCTTTAACTGGGAAAATATTTGCTACTTAACATTCACATCAATCTGAAGCAAGTAATTTTGTGCCCAATTATAGTTTTCCCTGTCATATGAAGAACAGTTTCAAGCATCCTATAAATTTTCCTTGTAAAAATCTCAGATTTGAATTAAAAGTTGAAAACGTTTATCTTCCTATTATTTACGTCAGCGGTCAAATAAAATGTTAAATATTTTTCCTAAGACAGACATTGTTTTTGGCATTATTACTAATTCAAAAAACGATACTTCAACGATATTTCAATAATTCAAAACTTTTTTTGAAACAAATTGCAATTAAAAACTCATTTTTAATGTGATAAAATGTTTAATTGTATTTTAAACTAACAAAGCAATATAAATAATTTGCTTGTTCTTGATTCATAACAATTAACATAACAATTTTCATAATTGCAGATATAGCCCCAATATAATCAACATTTCATCACATCAAACTAACAAGAATAGACTTTTTCAACCAGGCCAAGTATTTCCAGATTATATCATTCTATCAGATACCATCGTTCAAATAACAATATGCGGTCAACTAATATTTTTTTTCTAGGAATTACTTTTGCTTAATAAAGTACTTAAAGCTCATAAAATATTTTTTATTTGTAAGCAGCATAGAAATTCATTTCAAAAGCAGCATAGAAATTCATTTCAAAAAATTAAAAGTTTTAAAATGGTAAATTTAGATAGCTAATCTATACTTTTTCCAACATCATTATTGGAATACATTAATTGCACTAATGCCTATTAAACATATTAACACATTAAAAATCAAAATAATACTTCAATAATAGAATATTCAATAGAACTAATGGGAATTATTATGCTCTCTCTAAAGGGATTCCCAAAGTGTATAAGCTAAAACAATTTAATATTACTATTTTTCTTGTATTTATTATTAAAATCAGTCTCCTGAATTAAGTTGACTAATATAGCAATAATATAAAATTATATGTGAAGGCAAAACTATATATTAAATACACTACATGTACATGTATAAAGTACATTTACCTATGCAACGAGTTACAAATCTTTCCATATGTCTTTTGGAGGCTTTTCTTTATTTTTTCGAATGATGAAATTTAGAGGTTTTCGTATATGTCAGTGCTGCTAACGTGCCAAAGAGCTTCAACTATATCTCTTATTGTTTTATTCAAAATCAGTTTATTACATTTTAATCAGTCTGATTAGTACTTCTTCAGAGTAGAGTACCGTAAAACAGATTAAGAATTTCTTAAGATTAAGAAGTTGTTTGTAGACGATCAGCTTTACGTACTGAGATTGATATGATTGCCAGTGCATCTTTTGGAATTTCAAATCTAACTTATAGTATATTTAAGTAAGTACATTTAAGTAGATATACAGGCTTAGATACGTTGTACTTTTTATAGATGCAATCTATGTGTACAAATTTACTATACCATAGTTAAGATTTAGATACTAATGATTAGCTCAAACTGTAATTTCGTTTAGAGCTTTTTTAAACATTTCCGCAGATTCTTCCACTATTTCAACGATTAATAGGAAAGCCTTGTCGTGTAAAGGTATTCTAACAATTTATATTAGTTTACGATGTACTGGATGCGTTTCCTAGCAAACAAACTTGAAAGCAGTGCCTTAGATAGTACCATTTTTTACCTCATAAAAAATGTCTAACAAAAAAAATCATGTTTAAGTAGTTGACTGGAACAACTGTCAACACTGTCTGAATTGTTTTTCGCTAGACCTTTTTTGCTGTAAGATCTCCAAACATGTCGACAACATACGTCACAAGCTATTGATTTAAATACCACTCACTCTATTATTACACAGTGATCGTCAAAAAACAATTATTCTCCATTTAGATCCATTTTCAAACATTTACTCTGAACTCCTAAATACGTACGGAAGACTTACCTAGTTCATTTCATAGAGCACTATCATAGAGCTAAATTTAAAAGTTAAAATTTTAAATTCTTTAACTGTACTCGATAAATAAATTTTGGCACTTTAAAATTAAAACTAAATACATTACTTCACTGGTCTTGATTTTATCGCCCTCATTTATCAGCCTCATTTTATTTGCTCTCACTGAGAATATTATGCATTATAGTATTATAATTTCTAAGTAGCTCTTTGAGTTTGCAAGATTATTAAAGTGCAATTATACTCAATAAAATTATTTCAAAATGTTTATTTCTTATAAATTCATATTTATACAATATTAATTTCAACTTCATAATCAACCACCATAACTTCATTTTTACTTTTATATGTTCCATAATATCCATATCCTTTTATACGGTATTCACCAGAATGCAAAAAACTTGGTATCAAATTGGAATCCCAACTCCAGTTATTTATATAGTAGTGACCTTCAGGTACGGGGCAGTTCCTCACGAAGTTGCCATATCGTCTTAAGCTAGCGAACCACTTCTTAAAAAGAGATTCTTTAAGGGACGCAACCATGTTGCAGACATCAACCTGATAGTTGAAGAGTTTCTGATAGTTTTTCGAGTTTGATAAACGCACTTGGAACTCGAAATAGGATTTAAAACCGCTCTTTAATGGTTGTATTATATACATATCAAGACTAATTGTGTTATTTACGGTTTTCAGAGTAAAGTTTGAGAAATATTTTGCACTAAAATTTGAACAACCTGAACGAAATTCAACAGTACGTGTCTGAAAATAAATTTTTTATTGAACAAAATTTTATTTAGTCCCAAACATTCTCACTTACTCCTTGAATTACATTTATTTCGTTTTGTATAATAAGTAAAATAATAATCTTATAAATATTTGGAAAAGTTTTCATCGTAATGTTAAAAAATATCAAAATTTAAATAATCTAACCTAAGTACGAGTTTGTTTACAATAACAAATAATGTTAAATATATCAAATATATTTATAAGTAATTAAGAATTTATATTTGTATGGCAATAAATCATTATTTAACAAGTTTTGACCGCGGCACTTCATGCAATATGAATGTAACTGTAATGTAATTATTGTGATTTCAACTATATGCAGATGTTTTCAATGGTACAAATGCATTGCGACTTTAATAAATCGTTTATACCGCAGACGACTTCCTAACGGAACAGTAGTCATTTTTACTTAGTCAAAACCAGATAACTATTATTGAAAATGTATTTTTTTCTTACCCAGTGTTCTTTCATCTTACATATCTAGAAAAATGCAACAAACTGATAAATCCATCAGTTTTGACTTACTAAAATGGTAAGTAGACCAATTTGAAACAAAAGGTAGCTTGATAGTATCATCAGATTTATTCTATTTGAAATATATAGATTTCTGTAGTTGTAGATTGAAACAATCACTCTTCAATAAATATTTGTAAATACCAATGAAATAATTTTCGGTGGCAATGAAATATGTAATTTTTTGCTTTTCATTCCCAGTTTTTCATATATTCTTTTTTCAGACCCAAGTTATCCAAAATCTTTCTTTTGCAGAGTTTCTTTTTGCTACGAAATAAATTGTTTACTAGTATTCGCACTTTTTTTATATTCCAAGACAGACATTCTTTTTTATGTTATGTTATTAATATCAAAATATACAACTCAAGTAAATTATTTTAGTAATTGAATTAAGTACTAAATAATAAAAAAAAAATTTTGTTAACAATGATTGTATTTAAAAACTCATTTATATTTCGATAATGTGTTTGTATTTACGTATCGTATCATCTGAAAATAATTGAAAACAATAATAAAAAAATTATTTATTTATTTTTTTTTATAATGATTATTGATATTCTATAAGTCAAAATAAAACATAAAAAAGTAGCGCTTACTTCAAAAACATAAACAAATATATAATATTGTTATCAATAATATTGTCATACATACAAAAGTAGATAAATTCTTGCTGCTATGCTTCGATTCCTGCAAACACTAAATAGATACATTGTAGTTCTAATAATTTTGATCATCTTTTCAACTCGAAACACCCACTGCAAAAAGGTAAGTCAACTAAAGCGATTCATTAATAAAACTTAAATTGGAAATAATTTTAATCAATTTTTAATATTTCTTCTAAGAAATTCAAATCGTTGCTATTTACAAATATTTACACCGAATTTAATCCAGTATATGTCAGAAACTACAGTGCTTGGATAAATAAAGATAATTTATCCATTGATCTTGGCATATATTTCATACAAGACATGATTCCAGATCCTTGGATGAAAGTTGCTATTTTGAATAAAATTCCAAAATCCAAGAAATTTCGTGGAATATTCTCATACGATGTGAATATGTGCAGCATCTTCAACAAAAGTCCTATTGGATTCAATCTAATGTATTTTTGGATAAATAATTTATTGAAATACAGCGACATGCCTAAAGAGTGTCCCATCAAAAAGGTAATCATCAATACAAACTCAAACTTAATTATTCTGACTATCGATTTAAACATTATAGGGAAAATATAGTTGGAAGAATTTGCAGCCCGAAAAGGAATCAATACCAGGATTCGTTGTATCTGGCATTTATCGCATAGACTCAATAACTTATTTTCGTAAGGAGAAAATTGAATACATAGCAAATACTACAATGTTGGTGGATATAAAAATGAAATAAATTTAAGCAAATATTCTGTGACTATGTAAAAAAATAAGACAAATATAAGTACAAAATTACTAAGATTATTTTATTTCATTAAACTTGTAAACAGTGTCATCTATTACTAAAAACTGATCAAAATTTTAAAACATGTACATGATAATTAAATATACGTATATATATTAAAAATGTACCATAGTATGTTAATAAGCAAAATTTTGTTAAATCTTGTACAGGACTGGAAAGGGGAATGGAGAGAACATTCTATACAACTTGTTATTAAATTAGAACATGGACATGGAAAAACATGGACTAAGCATTGTATACCGTGACGAACATAAATATGACAATGACTGTGATACAAATGCCCCCAATGGTTCAAAAGCATTATATCTTTAATGAATCGAATGTACCGCAGACTAGTCCCTAACTGAACAGTAGGCATTCTTGATTAGGAGAAACCAAATAGGTTTTATTAATTTGTTTAATATATACTTCGCAATAACAAAAGGAAGATTTTATTTTATTTTTGATCAGGTCTATAGTACTAATTGTACCGTTCATTATTCTTTATTTATATTGATTAAAGTTTTATTTAAAATAAAAATATTTGAGATGAAGAACCCCACAAACGCAGAGAGACAAGTTAATAAGTTAGCTATTAAGAATACCACTACACAAATACATATAGCAAATCTGACAGTTCATTTGTGATATAATACCAGATTCATATTTCAAAGAGTAAATTTCATGTTGAAGAAAAATGTTGTTCAAGCTATTAAAAAATCGAAGGACTAAGGCGAAGTACATTCAGTATAAGCAAAAAGGGTAATTGACAATTGAATATAATATACAATTGAATATACCCAATGTTGTTAAAACGCCGTTTAGTCAAATTTCCCATTCCATTAGTATAACTGCATACAATGCATATAACTTCCTAAGAGATCCCTAGTCACTAGTAAGTGGTGCCCTCACTTTCATGAATTGAGATACCATCATTGATTGTCTTAAAAGGCAGAGATTAAAATGTGCTTCTAATATTATAAAATGGCTAAAATAACAAACTACATGGTAAAATTTTTATCAGTAATTTACTAGAACATGGATAGACTGAACAATGATTTAAGGAGAATAAACGTTTTAATTAGAAAAAAAATTGAAAAATCGGCAAGAACAGGAAACTATAGTGCAATAAATCTGGAAAAGACTATTGTGGTCATAAAAATGATGATGTTGCAATAAAGAATTAAGGTCAATTTACTTTCAGAAAAAACCATGTTCTAAAGGACGTTAACTTGATGCAACTGCAGTAAAACAAAAACTTAAAAACAAAATTGATGTTCCAGTGACTTCAAATTTTATTTAGAAAAGACGGTTATAAGCATGCATCCCTAATATTAAAAAAAGCCAAAACAGAACTTAATTAGATCACAAAAAAATTAAACGGAACCCGATGATATGTAACAGTCTAAAGTATTTATGAAAATGTAAGGAGCTCAAGTGTAGTGAAATTAAAATTGGCAATTCAAATTAGTTACTATCTGAATTTATGTATGAGTTTCTGACATATTCGGTTTTAATTTCGAAAAACTTTTCCCCTGGTTAATTACTGTTATTACTTTCACGACAAACTGCCGAATTTGTTGAATGAATTTACCAGCCCGCTTTTTTAGCAATCATTCCAACTGTCAATCTTGAACTTCATCTAAGTGACACTCACATCAGCAGTCGATAAATTTAGACAACCTTCAAATCATCAACATAGAAAAGTATCCAATCTGAAGTCTTTAAAACCTTTTCGAGATGGTGTATTGTTTCAAAATGCTGCTTGGCATTTATGAATAATACTTCTACAAATTAAAAATTATATTAAAATTCGTAAGAAATATCGAACTGAATCTTTTGTTCTGATGATGGTGGAAGTAACACTGACTCTTAGTTATTTGGTTGGCAACTTCGTGTTTCCATTTTGATTGCTTGCTATGTAACTTCAAATCATATACCACGCCAAATCGCCTAGCAATTTTAAATTGAAAATTTATTTGGCGTTGCCAACTATGCGAGGATTTCTTACTTCGTCTGTGGTATCTTATATTAATTTTTAATGTGATTTAGCTTTGGTTAAGTAAATTTTTAACCAAAGCCAAAAGTCAAAACAGTGGTCGTCAAAAGTAGGTATCAGATCAAATAGTCATATATATATTTTTGTTTTGATATGTCAATAAATACCCTTGGTTCAACCCTTGGTACTTGAAATAACTTTATTGGGTCTGCCAAAAATTCAACTACATGAAAAAAATAAAAATTTTTTTTGTTGCAATACAACACAGCTCGAAATCTGACAGCTAATATTAATGTAAGATCAAGGATTTATAATATTAATCCTGTTCAATTAATAATAATAGAATGGAAGAATTTTAAACAATAAAACTAAATCTCGAACTTATAATAAAGTTCAAAAAATTTTTATTGTTAAGAGTCAACAAAATAATTAATATTAAAATAAAATAAAAAATTCAAAAAATAATAATAGTAATATTTATAATAACAAATAATATACGCATGCTTCATGTCAAAGTAATTAGTACACACAAAAAGAGTAATTATATTATAATGACATATTTCGGAGAAACAGTGTATCAATTTCTGTTTAAATTTCAACGCTCATTGATTTCAAAATCCATAATTATTAACCTTTTTTGAATTTAAATATCTTAATAGTTTCGTAATTTACTTTCACCGAAAATGTTTACTAAAATTTGTCTTTTATGTCTAAAGGCATTAATATTTTCACTATGCCTTATTAGTAAGAGTTCAGCAAAACGTGTAAGTAAATTTATTCTCATCATCTATAATTATTATAATTGAATTACATACTAATCTTTCACTTGTACATTACATATATCTGCATTGTAAGTCGGATGTGTTTCTGCTTTTCACTGGTGCCCAAACTACAATTAATAAAGATTTCATGTCCAGTTACACAATTGAAATATTACCGCAAGCGCCGGGATCATCGTTGAACATGAACATGGATTTCATACAAAATGTCACGGAACCCATGATGCAAATAAGTGTTCTCCTTCCAAAGAGGAATGGTGATTATACCAGTGCTTTTCATTTTGACTTTAATTACTGCAGCATATTTGGAATGAATCAATCAAAAAACTTATTGGAGGCCAATGTGGGTAATTATTTGAAAATCTGGATCAGTAATATTAGAAAATATGGCAATATGACTACATGTCCAATTGTTAAGGTACTTTAATAACTATTTCTATTATTTAATTATATATTTTCTATAAAATTATATTATTATGTATTAAAAAGATATATACGCTATCTGCTATTAATAATTAAATCTGCAACATAAATATTTTTCTTAAATTTTTTTTTTTGCTGACCAAAGGGACAATACACAATTGCAAACCTAAGAGCTGATAGAAACAGCATACCAAATTTCTTTCTGTCTGGAAAATATCGCATGGAGGTGATTTTTTACTTAAATAGAGAAACTTCTAAATTACAAGTCTACAATGCAACAATAGATGTCGAGTTAAGAAAAAAGGATTTGAAAAAGCATAACTAAAGATACATATATTATGAGTTCCACCGGTAAAAGATAAAAGATATTGTATTACTTAGTTGAGTTATGTATTTAAATCTAAGAAATTTATTCTAAATAAATAATAAATTCTGCTCAAAGAATTTTTTTGAGTTTAATTTAAACTTGCGGATACAGTTATATATTATGAAAGTAATATTAACTCTAGATGGTACAACAAAAATTAGTTAAGGAAGTAACTTCTCTTAAAATAAATAAATTTTCAATAGATATTTGTGTTATCTATGTTCCTTACACTGTTTCATCTTCGTGTTCGAAGTATGAAATTATTTTCAAATCACGTATAGTCCTCAGCTAAGACAATAACCAGATATTTTATTGGTCGATCCTTTTTTGGTAATGGTTGATCACAAAGCATCTTACAACTACCATATCCCTTAGGATCTCATAAAACGGATGATTGTCTTAGCTTGCAATACTGATTTGAACTCTATATTGTAACAAAATCGATACTACCACCTCTGAGTACTCTGAGAAGCTAGAATTGTTTTTGTTTGAATGTATTCGTTTACATCCATAGTTGTTTAATATCCCCGTTTTATACCAGACTTACAAGGATCTAACATGTATCAAATATACTATTTCTAGAGGATATCTTGAAATAAAATAAATTTAATTGACTAATAGACTACCAAAAAATATTTTTTTTCATAATTTTTTATTAATTGCAAATTTGATTGTCTACCTACGAATCTACCAGACTAGTTTCGATAAATAAACTGTTAACCAAAACCACTTTTCGTTATATGAGCAAATCAATACAGAAAGACTTGCACTTTTTATATTTTTTTAGGTATATGTCCATAATTTTGTCATAAATTTATTAAATTAATACATTAATAGTGTTGCTGTTAAGCTAGATTTACTTTGTATAGGGACAAAGAAGCTTTATTAAATTTTTAGAAGGGTTTTCGAATAACAAAGAAAGAAATAAAGGACAAACACAAAAATTTATTTTTTAATTTTTATTGAAATTTGGCTGACCATACAACGCTGTTTCGAGTATTGCCAAGTACTCTTCATCAGTGGCCTTTGGGAATAATCGAATTTTATTTAATTAGTTTATAGTCCGTATATAATTTGTTTGGACTGCAAGTGCCAGGCTTAGAACTCGTGCCTGTCAAATTAGAAGCGATGACTAATCGTGTTCATCCACAAGAAGCCAAGGCTGCACAAACTTTCAATGCTCAAGTTCCAGGTTTTATGAAAAGTAAAGAACAATATGTTAAAATATAATATTGTTCAGCTTTTCCTAACCGCAAAAAGCGGATTTGTAGAATAACATAGCATAGCTTCTTTGTAAAAAGCACCAGAATGGTCGCTTTACATATAGTAAGTAAAACAATATGCATTACAAAATGTCTCTACAAAAAGAGTAGCTTTGAAAAGAAATAAAGAATAGGCAAAACCCAAAAGTTA